TTTTTTTTTTTTTTTTTTTTAACCAAGAGAAGACCTTTCAGACCGAGTGAGTAACATAGTTGGATGAAAATAATAGAAAAATCGATTAAACATTGAGAGGTTAGGGGGCAAAAATAAATAAATAAATATTAGAAGACCAAACAAAAATAAATTAATTAATTAAAGGATCAAGATATTAATTTTGTGAAATTAAAAGTATAATTTCAAAAAAAATATAAATATAATTTAATTTCTCAATAAAAACTTCTTGAATTGAAGAACGCAAACATTGTGAAATTAATTTTTTAGTTATATTAAAAAATAAGTATATTTAGTTATCTTCTACTTTTTATTAATGAATAAATTCATATAATAACTTTTTTTTTACTACAATTCATATAATAAACTAAGTTATTGAATTCAAGAATGCAAACATTGTGAAATTAATCTTTATAGTTATATTAAAAAATAACTATATTTTTTTATCTTCTATTTTTTTTATTAATGAATAAATTAATATAATAACTTTTTTTTACTATAATTCAAACAATAAATTAAGTTTCTTACTGAGGAAATTTTATCTGATTTTATATTTTTCAGAAATATAAGAAATTAACAAAATTATTAATATACATTTTCACTTAAATATATTTTTAGTCATTACAAAATGAATTAGTTTTAATTTTAGTTTCTATAAAAAAAATCTCTATTTTTTATCCTCTAAAATTTAAAATTAGTTTTTTTATCCAATAAAATTAATGTTTTTAGTTTCTATTATTTTATAATCCTTGTTAAATACTCATGTCATTTATGTATATATTAAAATCCAAGTGATTATCTTAAGTGACGCCTAGAATTATTTGTATTTTCATTTAACAAACGATACTTTTATTATTTTTATATAATTTTTTAAATAAATATTATTTATCTATTTTAAAAATATTGATAAACTTTATTAATTAACAAAAATTTAAATATTTTTTAATTTTAAAAATATACATATTTTTTGTTTGCGGTCTCTAAAATATTTTTTTGTTAACTTTTGATTCCTGTAAATAATATTCTAGTTTTTAAGTCTTTATCATAACTTTTTTTCACTGTAAAGTAAGCAAAAAAAAAATTAGGAATCAAAAGAAAAAAGAGAGAGTATATTTTAGGGGAAAAGATTTGAAACCATTAACAAATAAATTAGTTCATTTTCTTTATAGTAGTCCGAGAGAGTATATCATAAGCCCATTGAATTATATGATATTTAATTAAAAGATAATGACATGTAATTAAAAGATTAATAGGATAAGACTGAATCTGATTTGCATGTCCAAGAACCCTCTGCGGTCGGAATTCATCACATTCAAGTAGTCAGCTATTTGTAACTGTTTGGTTAAGATCGGATGGATGAGTTTTATTTCATAAGAGAAATTTAAAATACGCATCTAAATTTAAACCGTCCAATCTTTATCGAACGGTGCTGATTCACAACTTCATAAATGCGTGATTGTATAGAATCTGGTTTCACATGGACGAACCTGAAATATTATACTCTTTAAAACAGAGTCAGAGTCAGTGTTTTTGGCTGTTTGTTGCAGTGGTTCTAAATTTAAAAGCTGATTGGCGTCGTTATAAAAAAAAAAAGAGGAATCAGTCTGTGTTTTAGGTCTCGCATCAGCATTCAGAACTTATCTTAATCCTTAATTTCCATTGAAACGAGGATGTTGCGGCTTTCGATTCAACGAGGTAAGTCGTGATGGGTAGTCTTTGTTGGCATGTCCACATGTATGGTTGATGATTAATGCTTGGAAGTTGGATTCAGGTGAAAAATGTTTTGATTTTTTTTCTTTCTATTTTATATTTTGGTGTGGCAGCGAGGAAGTTGAACTCCCTGAGGTGTCAGATCTATGCTCTGGGAAGTTCCCATTTTTCAACAGCTGCTGAAC